CTGCCAGAGTGGGAAGCCAGCCTGCATGCCACTCAGCCCGTGTCTAGAAGGGCAAGTAAGGAGACTCCTCTTGCTAGAATGTGACTCCGTGCTCTGTGCCCAGGGCTGAGCACAGGCTCTGGCAGAACTCCATCACCCTCTGCTGATTGAAGAGCCCAAAATAACATAGAAGAGGCTCATTTTCTCACCTCCCTGCCTCTCCAGAGACCAGAGGGAGCACGGAGACTGTCCTCCGAGAGCCAGTGCTCTCTGGAGTAGGAACATGCCTTAATATTTCAGATCCCCCATGAAGCCGGATGCTTCCATGCTGGTTATGCAGCCCTTGGTTCTCAGTTCCAAGCCCACCTGTCTCCACTCTGCTGTGGTACCAGGACTGGGATGCAGCACAAATCTTAGCACGTCTTATTATAAAAGCAAACCCGGAGCCAGGTATTGGGGTGAACGCTGAAAGATCAGAGAGACAGAACAGGCCACAGCTAACCTTACCTGGCCAACTTCTCAGTTGATCCTGTTTCCTCAAACTGGAAGCCTCTGAGTGAATGAATCTCAGCTGAACTGCTGCTAAAAGCCTAAAAGCCTAACGGATTCTAGTTCGTGGTTTTCACGCCTTATATACTGTTCTGCTTCCTGCCATCACTTACTGGGATTAAAGGTGTGTGTCACCATGCCTGGCTGTTTCCAGTGTGGTTTTGAACTCACAGAGATCCAGATGGATCTCTGCCTCTGGAATGCTAGGATTAAAGGCATGTGTGCCACCATTTTCTGGCCTCTATATCTAGTGGCTGTTCTGTTCTCTGACCCCAGATAAGTTTATTAGGGTGCACAATCTATTGAGGAACACAATATCACCACACTGGGATCCCACAAACTGTTTTTCCAGCAGCTCCCTGTGAGGTTCTGCCAATGGGGGACGGGGGGGGGGGGGCAGGAAGCCTGCTAGGCTGGAGGGAGAAGAGGGCCTTTCCCCTCCCTGCTTATTTATACCAACAACAGTTTTCATGGCAGCTGGCCCCAACGGCCATAATTCCAGTTTCTCCTCCACGACCCAAAGCCCTCATTGTCCTCTCAGAGGGACAAGTAGCACCCTTTCCACTTAAAGATTTAGGTCCCAGGTGCACAAGGTCCCTTCTTCAAACTCACAGGTTCTGTTAACCCCAAGGAAGGAATTAACTAGGTGTAACCTTGACTGGCCACCCAGAAACTTGGTAAAACACAGGTTTCTGGGTTCCACCCTCAGAATTCTCATTCAGTTTGAATATGCATAGCTAATAAGATCCCAGGTGATGCCACACAGCTGATCTGAAGGGTTGGCCAGCCATGGCACACAGTCCCAGCCATGGCAACTGTCCCCTGCAGTTACTACTACACCCTCCCCAGCCTGCTCAGTCACTTCCCAAAGTCAAATCCTGTTAAGATGTAAAGTGTGGTAATCTGTGTCCTGACTGGATCTTGCCTATTGCAGGGACAAGGCAGATGCACCCCCTATGGAAAACCTGTTTCCCAGAAGTCACAATTGCCCCCTAGACCTGACCCTGATACTCCTGTGATCGAATGAGAGCAGGGATTTCCCATTGCTAAACAAGGTTGAAGAGCCGTTGGTGCACATGCCCGGGCCCACTAGGTCCCAAGGGCAGGCAACAGCAGCCCAAGGGACAAGCCACGGCTGCTCTGGCTCCCCAAGACATCCTCCAAACAGGTCATGTGGTTGAAGACCCACCAGGTAGATACCACAGAAGATACTACCCCTGGTTGTAATTCAGATGCCCAGGTGGGGTTGCCCAGATGCAGTCATCTGTCGGTAAACAGGACCCAGAGACCTTGAGAGTTCAGAAGACCTTTCCAGACAAGCACCACTAGACAGCCCCGTAGACAAAACTGAGGATGCCTAGGGTTCTGCTGCTAAAATGGAAGCCGGAAAGTCATACAGAGCCCCCAGCTCTGCCTTGCTGATGCAGAGGCCTAGGAGATGACCCTGGGTGGAGGATCCTGTGCTCTTAAGATAGCCTTAACTTTCCTCTGCCTGAAGCCTAGAGACCTGGTCTTCCCAGCTCTGTGGAGCCAAGAGTCTCCTTCTGTGTAGACCCTTGAAGGATAGCCACCACTGGCCCAGGCCTACACAGCTCCAGCAGGCCACCTTCTCCTCAGCCTCACCAATGAGTACATTTCCATAACAGCCATAATTTTTTTTTCCCTCCCAAACTCCCCACTCCACAGCCAGCTTGTTCTCTGGTGGACAGCCGCATTTCTGCCTCCACTGAAAAGATTGAGATATGCTTCACTTCCATGAAAATGACAGAGAAAAAAATGGAATGGTATTTCAGGAACCATTTCCCTAAAGAGACATTAACAAATGTCCACCCTCTCCTTAGAGCGCTCCAAGGACCAAGCAAAGTCCAAAACAAACAGTGACCCTCCCCCAAAGTCCAACCTGGGGAACCAATGGGATTATTGGGCTAACTTACAGAGCATGGATGAAGGGCTCTTGGAGGAGTGTGGTGACCCCAAAGCAGCCTCACTACTGAAAGTCTCACCCCAGCACAGACAACAGCTTCCCCACAGCTGCATAAGTGGAATCCTCTCCTCCTGGCTGACCTTCACAGCCTGCATACTCTAGCATGCCCCAAGACCAGAGGCCATGTGCAGTGAGGACAGAATGGCATACAACTGGCTGCGAAGTATGGGAGCAAGAGGCTGGAATCTCAGGTGACTCCAATGATCTTCACCCTCTGCCTTCTAGGAGAGAACAGTCACCAACCCCAGTGAACACTGAGTGACCCCAGTGTTCAGAGGGGACAGTAGCTGTTGTTCTCGAAGGATAACATCTTACAACAGACAAAAGAAGGTGCTTTTCCTTACTGCCCTATTGACATCAGCATTTTCTAGTTTACACCTGATTCTTGATTCCTCCATGTGCGCACACACATGTGCTTGTGGGGATTGAACTATGGGCCTCACACATGGTAAGCATATGACTCAGCTATAACCTGAGCCCCAACCTGAGTATTAAATGGTAAGGAGCTCTAGAGAGCCTCTGAATATAAAGGGGCATTTGATTTCAATGAACCACGTGACAGAGGCTAAGGAAGTGACCTGAACGGGAGGATGCACAGGAGTTAAACCACCCTAACCAGGTTTACTGACCACTAACTAGGTGGTTCCACATTGCCTGTGAGATGCACATCGTCCAGTAGCCTGCCTTTTCCACAACATTTTACTCCTTCAAGAGCCATGGTGCAGCTCAGACCCTTGAGGATTTCTTTCTAGTGGTCTGTGAAAAGCTGGGGCTTGACTGTGGCCCCAGAAAGGGCTGAGAAATCAGAGGGGCCCCCACGCCATCTCTTCACTCAGCCCAGGAGTCTTAAGCTCTGGGCCCATTCTGCTTAAACCCACATCTCGGTTTCTCCTGCTCCCATTGTGCCATGTTACTTTCATGTTCTCCAGAACATGGACCCAAACTATGAATGCACATAAGGAACAAAGCAGTGAGAACTTTCTATCAGGGCTCCAGTGCAGGACCATTTCTGGTGCCGAGCACAGGTAGACACTCATGAATAGCTAGCAAACGAATGCCAGCGTGGACTACTGCTGGCTGGCTTTTTAGAGCTCTAAAATGTTTTTTATGTGCATCAAAATTATCATTCAGGGTTTGGGGGTAGAGGTCTGTGGTAGGCATGTGTCTATCAGACAAGAAGGCCGGGGTTTGATCCCAAGCTCCAAAATAACCATTACTGACAGCATCCAATGAAATGTTTGTTAACTGATTCTAGTTATCACGAGCTGATGTCTACTTCCAGGAGGACCAGAAATCTGTTTTCATCAGATTCTGATGACTCCAACAATAAAGACGATAGGGGGAAAAAAAAAACCCAGTGATTGAAAAATGCAACTGTTGACATATCAGACTAAGTACCCAGTCCCAACAGCTGTATGAACTTAAAGAATATATTTTACTCTCTGGACTCTATGTGAAAATTGCATGAATCTTCCCTCCCAAGTTTATCGTATGACTATGTTCAATGTGGCAATTTCTAAGCTCCCTTTAAAAGAAAAATATCTTTATAAATAAGTATATTTGTTCGATACAGTTGATCATGACAATTTGCCAATGAGATAGCTAGGATTGGCATGCGGTTGTATAGGATAGAAGGTTTGCAGTCCAGCTGAGAGAACTACACGTGAGTGTGTTTTTGCAGGTTTTGGTGGATGTGCATATGGGTGAACTCCTGAGTAGGGCTTTTCACACTTAAATTGTATGCAGACCTCCCAAGGATGTTGCCATAGTTAGCTACAGCTCTCAACTCGACACAGCCTAGCATTATCAGAGGGAATCTCAGCTGAGACATGGCCCAGAGCAGACTGCCTGACAGTGTTCTTGATTGATGGCTGATTGGGGAGGGCCCAGTCCCATGTGGGCAGCGCCACCCCTGGACTGTATAAATATGCTAACCGAGTATAAGCTGCTTTTTCTAAACTCTCTGAAATGCCAGAGTAGGGCCATGCTCTTAAAAACCTAAGCCTTGGAAACCTTCACATCCTGATCTGACGTCAGTTGTCTGGGGCAGCCCGCTACCTAGTTGATGCTGCAAGCTTATGGGGTGGGGGTGCGGGTGGGGGACCTCCAGATTCCTATTGTTTCTTTATATTAACTGCGTGAAGTGTTCCATATGGGCAAGGCTCAGGCACTCCATCTCACCAGTCCACACTCTGCCCCACCCAATGAGTTTCAGTTTAGTCCTCATACATCTGGGGAGAAGGATGCTTGATGTTCAATGTCATTTGTCCTAGAGCTGCAGGGTGTGTGAAATTTGAAATATGTAAATAAGCAGGAAAGTGAAGGGAGGAGCCTCGGGGAAAGAGAGTGTCCAGCCCACTGTCCCCCCTGCCCCCCCATGACGCCCACTGGGACATAAAGTGGGAGGGAACTTGGAGCACCCCCCCCATCTTGCAACCTTTCACCAGCTAAGACAGGTACCCCGAGCCCTGACACTGTGGCTCATTACCAATTTCTCCTGGTACATGCTTGCCATGGAATCGAAAACACACGGTGACATTTAGGCAGTTCACAGGCTGCTGTCCATCATGACACTGAGGTGCTGTGATGTTGATGGAGACTGGGAGGAAGATGGAGACATCCACAGTGATGACCGGTCTGGCCCTGCATGACAAGAAGAGGGGAAGGGACCTGTGTTAAGTACCGGCTCTCAGAACCAAACAAGAACTATACAGGCAGAATAGATCTGGGACTTCAGCCAGCATTTAATTAAAGAATGAAATGCCCCAAGAGAGAAAGGCTAGTGTGTTCTGTAAGTATTTTTTTCTGGTTTTAAAAGTAGCGCATTCCCTAAAATACTAATGGTTTGCTTCCCAGTAACAAAGGCAAGTTAGTTGTTAATGAAACCCAGCTGGCTAAAGCCGTAAATCAACCACCAGATGCTGGGTGATTATTTAAAATTTCACCCAAGAAGTTCCGATTTCCATTTCACTGGGGAGGCATGAATGCACTGAGGAGAAGTGTCTACACACAAGCCGTGGTTCAGTAGCCGGATGCAAAGCCGGTGTGACAGCTCACTCCTTAAATCCCAGAATCGGAGGGAGTGAATCAGAAGGACTTCCCAGAGTTCTAGGCCAGCCTGGGTCACTGTGTGAGAGCTGGCCTTAAAATGCCAAAGGGAGGGGTAGGAGGGAAAGGGGAGAGAGGGAAAGAGGGAGAGGGAGGGGGAGAGAGAGAGGGAGAGAGGGAGAGAGGGAGAGAGGGAGAGAGGGAGACAGAGAGACCACTAGATACATACTGAGTGGTTCCCTGTCACTGCCGGCATAAGTTGGCCAAATGCCCTCTTTCGTTTATGTCTACCAATGCATTGAATATGGTCTAACAAGAACTGATTAATGGAGTCCCAGCTGGTACCAGCAAAACACTTCAAGGAATTAACCTGGCTAGCCTTAGGGCAAAACGAAATCCAATAAACACAGCCCTCTCCCTGACATGACCACCCCTGCCCCCAGTGCCTGATGAATGGACAGCATCCCTGGACTCCCCCGGGGCAACAAGACAAAAGCTGGGAAGGAAGCAGGCATCCCTTTCCCATAGCACACAGCTGCTCAGGGAGGAGGCACCTAAGCTGTGGCTTGACCTCCCCCCACCCCCACACCTGCCCTGACCTTCCAGAGAGAACCTTCCCCCCACCCCCCAGGATCCCTGGCCTCCATGCTTCTGGAGTGATGTGAGATTAAGGGGCATAAACTGGGAATAGTGCCCTCACGTGTGTGTAAGGCTAACCCAAGTGCACCAGGGTGACAGGACCATGGAACACATGACCGAAGAACCCCAAGATGAAAGGAAAACCTGGGTGCATAACACAGTGAGGAGACACACGGCACAGACGGCACGGGACCCCGCCGCTGCCGCCATTGCAGGGTCAGAAGGTCAACAGAAGGGCAGCTGTGACGGGGCAGTGAACTGGGGAACTCTGAGCGAAAGACAGACAGACCGCAATAATGCCCGAAGAAACCAATAGCCTAGTCTGTTGATTTTCTTCTGGGTTCATCCTTAGAAGATGCTAGAATTACTTAGATCATGTCACCCTAGTTGGTGTAAGATGATGTCATGGTTAACTTTGTCAAGTTGACAGGATCTGGAATCATCATGAACACATGTGAGGGAGTTTCTAGATTAGGTTAAGTGAGGCAGGACGACCCACCCTGGAAGGGAAAAGTACCATCCCATGGACTGGGGGTCTCTGAATAAAGGATAAAGCGAGCTGAGCACCAGCGTCCGTTCACTCTGCTTCCTGACTGCAGATGCGATGTAACCTGCTGCCTCATGCCCCTGCCACCATGACTTCCCCTGCTAGGACGGGCTGTGATCTCAACCTGAGTAAACAAAACCCTTTGTTTCCTTACTTGTTAGTCCCCCCCCACACCCCCCAACCCCCCCACCCCATCCCCACCCACTCACCCCACCCCACCCCCCACCCCCACCCCCCTCACCCCACCCCACCCCACCCCACCCTCACCCAGGCATTTTGTTATAGCAATAAAAAGTAGAAACAGCCCTGTTACTTAACTCCTCCGCCACTGCCTTACTGTCTTTTTCTATCCCTGACTCACAACCTGAAGCCCATCACTGGGGTGGGGGCGGCAGAGACAAAGTAGCCACAGCTTCAGAGAGAGCTAGGCTCCTTTCTACAATAACACCCTGGCAAACTCTGTCCTGCCCCGCTATGGAAAAGAAGGTGAAAGGCCAGTCCATCCCCTTATCAGCTGTCAGAGAGAAGGCACAGTCTCCTCCCAGAGAGACTGGCTGAGGTAAGCAGGAGACGAGAGCAGTCCAGACAGAGCTAAGTGCAAGGCTTGTAAAGCGGAATCCTTTGAAAGGGCCGGCAGAGGCCCTCCCGGGTCCATCTCCTTCCAACATCTGTTACATCAGTTCCCTCAGCTTTTTTTTTGTCTCCACTTCAAGTATTGTTTTTGGATGAGGAAAGCAATCTTTCATAAGCCTCTCTGGTCACTTCCTTTGCCCCTTGGTGGCACAGGACTAGGCTCCTATCACAGGAACAGGGACCTGCCCTCCTGAGCAAACTTCCTGAGGCCAGAGCTGAGGCCTGCTCACACTCCTAGGGCGGAGCCCACCTGCCACCCACCAACCTCTGGATAACAGTGAGGGGGCACCCGAGGGCAGAACCAGAGGTGCTTTTAAGATTTCAAAGAAGCAAGTAACTGGAGTGCTTTTCCACGGCAGGGAGATCAAACCTCCACATTGTACTTCCAGGCAAGTAATAAAAGTGGATGGTGTATGATTTTCACATGGTGGTGCTCTGGTTCTTTTGGCAGGGCAGGGACAGGTGAAGGCTAGTTACAAAACCTGCCCTGAGCCTTCCTCTGTCCAAGTTCACCTATGTTCACACAGTTGAAGGTGCCCAGTCAGGTTCTCTTAGCTGTAGCCCAAAGCTTCCCAAACCCCAAGGTGCCTCTCTCAGTGCCTTTAACTACAGCGAACACGCAGCTGTCTGTGGGCATACACATTCCTCTTTGTCTGTCTCGGAACCACCTGTGGATCCATGTGCTCCTTTGCAGCCCAGCTTCAGGAAGGCAGCCAAGATCCGCTGTCTCCCAGTCTCCTTCTCTCCCCTACCCACAGCCATGTGGCTTCTGCTACAACACTACCCAAAAGCTGCATCGGCCAATACAATCACTGACCTTTGGTGCCACCTCGGCCAGGACGTGCCCACGTGGTCCTTTCTGCTGAATGTGACACCATCATTGTAAAAGTCTGTCCTAATTTGCTTTCCTGTTGTGATAAACACCATGACCAAAAGCAACATGAGGAGGAAGAGGTCTATTTCAGCTTACAACTTATGGTCCATTATCTAGGAAAGCTGAAGCAGGAGCTTGAAGCAGAAACCATGACAGCGCCATGCTTATCAACTCGCTCACTCTGGCTTACTCAGCTTCCTTATACAGCCAGGCCCACCTTCCTAGGGATGGCACTGCCCACAGTTGGCTGGGCCCTTCAAGAAAATGTCTCACAGGCATGCCCCCAGGCCGATCTGATGGAAGCAATTCTTCCATTGAGGCTCTTTCTTCCCAGGTGTATCAAGCTGACAACCAAGTTCACCACCACAAAGCTCCTAGTTCTTCACCCATAAGGAGGATAATAGCAATACATATGCCATGGAGTTGTCTAGAGGGCAAGAAATCAGTCCACACTGTGAATACAAAACATGGGTAGATCTCGGAAACATCGAGTTGAGAGAAAGAACTCAAGAATACATATGGTGTGATTCCACTTACATGGAATCCTAGAGTAGGCAAAAGTGACCTGTGGTGACAGAAGCAACAGTAGATGCCTATTGAGAGAAAGATGCAATTAACGTAAGAGGGCCAGGTGGGCGGTGGTGGCGCACGCCTTTAATCCCAGCACTTGGGAGGCAGAGGCAGGTGGATCTCTGTGAGTTCGAGGCCAGCCTGGTCTACAGGGTGAGTTCCAGGACAGGCTCCCAAGCTACACAGAGAAACCCTGTCTGGAAAACAAAACAAAAGAACGTGAGAGGGGCTGGTGAGGCAGCTAGTGGATAAAGTACATGTCATGCAAGCCCGGGGACTTGAGTTTGATCCTCAGAACCCACATACAGGTAGAAGAACAGAATCCATTGCACAACGTTGTCTTAATATGTGCCTCCCCAGCACAATAACAACAAGAAGTAATTTTTAACAGCATAAGAAAGCTTGCAGGGTGACAAGCTTGCAGCTCGAACTGGTACATTTTACTGTATACAAATTATAATCTAAGAAAGAAAGAAAGCCAGGCGGTGGTGGTGCACGCCTTTAATCCCAGCACTCGGGAGGCAGAGGCAGGCGGATCTCTGTGAGTTTGAGGCCAGCCTGGTCTACAGAGCGAGATCCAGGAAAGGCGCAAAGCTACACAGAGAAACCCTGTCTCGAAAAACCAAAAAAAAAAAAAAAAAAAAAAAAAAAAAAAAAAAAAAAAAAGAAAGAAAGAAAATACACAATGAATATAGTCATGCACTACATGAATGGTGAAGACAGACCACATGCATAATGGCAGATCCACAGGTGGCAACACATAGTGATGCCATAGCTGCCTTAGCTTATGCAAGTCCATACTGTTACACTCAGCAATGATGAAATCACCTAATGAAGCATCCCTCTGAGTGCAAGCCTGTGGCTAAGCACAGGAATGTACACAAAATGTTTGTCTAGTGCCTGGTGTATGGGAGGTATTCATCAAACATTGGCCACATCATTGTCTACTGTATATGACACACTGGCTAGAGTCAAAGCCTGGGGACCAGGTCTGTTCTGTTCTCTGTACAGTCAGTCCCTGGCATCTCATACATTCCCAGTTTCATCTCAACAAGACAATGTATATAAACTGAGAGGATGGGGGTGTGGACTCCCAGAAAGGCACCATCGCCATACATCTCTGAAGCTCATGTGGTCTCATTGGTCTTCCAATGTCTTCTAGCTTCTTTACCCAGATGTGGGGCTCCTCACTCCCTCACCCATGTGCATTCTCCCTGGCCTTCCACCTCATCAGATCTGACCTTCCACTCCATGCTGGAGTCTGGGGTCCCCATCCACGGTGAAGGCACTCCATTTAACATTTACACCCATGGAGGAGAGAGACAAGAAGAAGCTCCTTTAGGTTTGGAGCTCATGGAGGAAGACAGATGGGGTCTCAGGACTGAGCAGGGAAATAGACATGACCTCCCACCCCTAACTCAGAAGCTATCTGCAATTGACAACTGCTTGCAAAGGAAAAAGTCATTTTCCCCAACAGAGTCTCCCTGAGTATATAAACCACACCTAAAGGCAGGCCTCCTGTCTAGCAGCAGATGGCCAACACAAAACAAACTCAACGGTGTTTTCAGAGATTGTTCTTTTTTTCTTTTGTCTCATAATGCTGTGTTTGAACTTTATTTTTTATCTTTTGCTAATCTATTATGGTTTCCAATTTTGTGTTTTTATGGTTATGTGTGTGTGTGTGTGTGTGTGTGTGTGTGTGTGTGTGTGTGTGAGAGAGAGAGAGAGAGAGAGAGAGTTTCTTGTGGTTTTCTTTCTTTTTTTAATACTGGGGTCTGGTTTGTTGTTGTTTTGTTTTGTTTTGTTTTAATTTCCCTGTTTGTTTTCTAAAGGAAAAGAGAGAGAAAGAAGGCATGGGGTTGGATGGATGGGGAGAAGATCTGGAAGGAGATGAGAGAGGAAAACTGTGATTAGGATATATTGTATGAAAGATAATTTATTTTCCGTTATAAAAGTCAAAAGACAACAGGCGCCCTTGGTATCAAGGCAGCCCACTGCACTGTAAGCAGCCGGGGACATGTGTCATTAAGAGGGACCCTGACAATCACAATGAGCGGTCAGGTCATTATGAGACACAATGCCACTGTGGCTCCCCATGTCACAGACATTCGTCATGGCCTCGACCAGGAGGAAAAGAGTGGAAACCCAGGCACGTGGGACATACTTCAGGGTATCTGGGGATACACTGCTATCTTCAGATGCTGCAGGGCTTCTGGGTAGATGATCCAAGAACAGGAAGCAGAATTTCAGGAAGTCAGATTTAACCAGATCTATGTAAGCCCTGCTAGTCCTCACCCAGGCTGTCTCATAATTACAAATATCAACCCGGAGCTTCTGGGAAATACTCCCGTTATTGTCTTCCACAGAGGAAAATCTTGGGATGGGGGTGGGGAGGGGGTGCCAAGGAGCTTGACCGGGAAGTTCACCTCAAAGGGCAGAGGCAGGGTTTGAACTCAGGCCACCTTCACTCTAGGTCACACCCAACTTCAAGGTGATCCTGCCACTTTGACAATTCAAAGTTTAGAACTATCTAGTCACCAGCTGCTTCTCTCTAAGTCACTAAGCCCCTTCCTGTGGGGTACCTCGTTCAAGAAGAGACCCTGTCCCTCTGGAAAGGCTGGGAGAGGGCAAGGCTAAATGGGAAGCATGTGTGGTGAAGGCCTACATGGCCTCTGGGATCCCTTCCAGCTGTAAGACCATAGCAGTTTATTTTAGAACATTCTGCCATCGAGTTATTAACAAAACTGTTGGCTCCCATTCCAAAGTGCAATTCTGCTTCCTCTGACTCACACAGACAGAAATACTTGAAGATGGTGCATCGGTGGAGATGGTGCTGTCTAGGCTTCAGCAAGTACTGGACCTAAGCACATGTCCCTCACCTCTGTTACCACCAGTGAATGGACAGGAAGCTCCTGGTCCCTGGGGCTGAGGACTAACAGGAGTGAAGATACTGGTTATAAAGATAAAAAACTAGGCTGGACAGGGTTTACCAGCCCTTTAAATGCCTGGCGCCTGTAGGAAACAGGAATGTTTATATAGCACGTCAACAGAAGGGCATGGTCGGTCATGACCAAAGACAAACAGCCCTTGGATTAGGGGTTGAGTTACCCCAACCCTGTCAAGACACCCCAGAAAGCTCTCAGTTCCCTATAAGCTAGTTAAGGCCCACTTTCTGGAACTCTGTGGTAAAGAATATGACTGAGAGAATAAAGGCAGAATTTATTCTGTGCACACAGCACCTTCAACCTGAAGGACTAGGCCAAAGGAAAGAGCCAAATGATGGGATCGCACCCCATTCCTCCTCGGCAAAATCCCATCTGTTAGTCATGAAGAACACGACCCCAGGAGTAAGAGCCAGGCATCTCACCTGAGGAGGACCACGCTGTCAGACAGGAAGGCTCCAATGGTGACATCTGAAAACAAGAAGTCACAGCCTCAGAACGTTGTGGAGACCAGCTCCAGCTGCCCTTTGGCGTGGCGCCAGGGACAGAGGCCCAGCCCTGTGGTCAGAGAGCCTTCCTACAGCTGCTGTCTGACTGCATAACGACTGTGTAAGAATTGCAGCCATAATGTCCTAAGTGGCCGCCAAGCACATCTGGCCGCTGGGGCCTGGAAGTGGAGCTGGGTGTGTAAAATACAGAGCAGATTTTGAAGACCTAATTTTTAAAAATTAACTCATTAATAACTTCTGTATTAGTTATACAGTAAAATGATAAAATGTTGACTATATTGGACTACACTTCATTAAAATTAATTTCATCTTGTGTATATTTTTCTGTAGTTACTAGCATATACTATTATATATATCGTTATTTAAGCAAATATTATTTTAATGGTATATATAATTTACTATAATTTGTATTGAGTGGATAATTTCTTTAGTGATTTGAAAACAGATTTTTTTTTGCCAAGAATTTGCGTTTTCTTAGCAAGACTTTGGAGTTTTTTTTGTTTTTGTTTTTTTTTAAATCTCAGCTGAATCCTTTAGAAGTCAGTCACCAGGCAATAGTTCCCATTCTGCTGTGTGAATAACAATTGTTAACCAAACCAAAAAAAGCTATCTTATCTCACACACCTATCTTCATTTAGCTGGCATGCTTTGAGAAAAACAGCTTACCAGGATAGCCATTTCCATCCATATCAATGCCCCCTGATATGGACTGCCCAAACATCCGCAGGATCGGGTTTATCTTCCTCCCAGACAGTTTCTGAAACAGACAATAGAAAAATGGAGTCACGGAGGGCAGTTAGGACCTGGGGCTGTCTGAACCCAGCTTCCTCAGGGCACTGGGTCTGAAGTTGTTGAAAGAAAAGAAAATGTTGGTAGAATATGGCCAGAGGGTTTAGAGAAGGCACTTGAAGATCACACACTTCCTTATTACTGCTTGCCTTGGCCAGATGTCATCATTAAAAATTTCCCTGAGTTTGGTGACAATAAAATGTCTACTAAAGCATGTTTTTAAAAAAATGTTTACGCTTATTTATGTGTGTGCAGGGATTTCATAGGCCACAGTGTACACGTGGGGGTAAAAGAGGGCCGGAAAGAACTGGTTTTCTCCTTCCACCATGGAGGTCCCTGGGATTAACCTTAGGTCCTCGGGCTTGGCAGCAAATGCCTTTACCCACTAAGACGTCTCACTAGCTCATTGTATGGTTCTGACATGTTGAAATTTAAGACAACTAAAGGCTGGATTATTTTTCCCGTGTGTGTGTGTGTGTGTGTGTGTGTGTGTGTGTGTGTGTGTGTGTGTGTGTGTTAGGGGCCAACCTTGTGTCAATCCTCACATGCTGTCTATGATTTTTGTTTTGTTTTTTTAAGGCAGGGTCTCTCAATGATATGAAACTTACCAAGTAGTTTAGGCTGGCTGGCCAACAAGCCCAGAGAGCCTGTCCCATTTCCCCAGTGCTGGGATTCTAATTGTGTGCCATCACACCTGGGTTTTTGTTTTTAACATCTGGGGGGCAACCTCAGGTCCCCAGGCCTGTGGACAGACACTCTACTGACCAAGCTCTCTCCCTCGCCCCTGCCCTCTCCCTCACCCCTGAGTCCTCTGTTTACTTTGATCCAGGCACAACTGGTTGAAATGCTGGGAGCATCCTTCCCTCCTATCTCATTAGGTACCATTTCACCTGCCTCCCCTAAGATGGACAGGTCACTAGCATACCCAGCTGGAAAGATAGCCATGTGGAAACTTCCCCTCCAGCCAGCCCACTGGGAGGGTCACACGCTCCTAAGCTTCATAGAAATCACTCAGCCATTTGACCTAGTACATCTAGAACTGCATGGTGCTGAGCCTCCTGTAAAGTACAGGGAGAGAATCAGCCATTTCTCCCGAGAGGCATTCCTCAACCCATGTGTCACACTCACAACTCTACTACCACATCACATTTTTATACACCATTAACTTCATCACAATAGTGCTGTGGATATCGCTCTGTATAAATAAAATGCTAATTGGCCAGTAGCCAGGCAGGAAGTATAGGCAGAACAAGCAGAGAAGAGAATTCTGGGAACAGGAAGGCTGAGTTAGAGAGACGCTGCCAGTCACCACCATGAAAAGTGTGACGTAAGGTACCTATAAGCCATGAGCCACACAGCAATTTATAGATTAATAGATATGGGTTAATTTAAGATAGAAGAACTAGATAACAAGAAGCCTGCCACGGCCATACAGTTTGTAAGCAATATAAGTCTCTGTGTGTTTACTCGGTTGGGTCTGAGCGGCTGTGGGACTGGCGGGTGAGAGAGGTTTGTCCTGACCTTGGGCCAGGCAGGACCAGAAAAACTCTAGTTACACAACAGACAGCCTAGTTCAAGAACAGCCGTTGGGGTCTGGGGTACCTGGTGAGGTACTTGACTTACAAGCACGGCAGAACCTGAGATCTGTCTCCAGCATCTCCATAAAAAGCCAGATATGGTGGAGTGTGCCTGTAATCCCAGTGCAGGGAGCCAGAGACAGGAGGGTCCCTGAAGCTCACTGGCTAGAGTTAATCTACCTTAAGTGGTGAACTCCAGGCCTGTGAGAGATCCTGGGTCAAAGGTTGTGGATAGTGTTACTGAGAATGACACCTGAAGTTGTCCTCTAGCTTTATACACACATGTCCACATACATATACTCATTTTTTAAAAAAAGAACACAGGGCTGGAGAGATGGGTCAATGGTTAGCGCACCCTGCTCTTGCAGAGGCTCCCAGTTTAGTGTCCAGCACCCACATTTAGAGGCAACTGCCTGTAATTCCAGTTCCGGGTGATCCAGCGCCCTCTTCTGGCCTCCTCTGGCACTGCAGTCATTGCTCATGCCCCCCTTCCCCACAAATGCGCAGAATTAAAAACGAAAATACTAAGATACTTTTAACAAGCGAATACTTGCCACACAGCCAGCCCTCATCCCACCAAAACTGTCTGTTCACACTTGTGTGGCGCTGTTCCTTTTAAAGACACCAAACGTCTTGAACCAGAAAGTCTCGTTTCCTGAGATCTGATCAGTTCCTTCTTTCTTCCATCCACAGTGTCTAGTTACCTTTCTGTTGCTGTGATAAAAATACTGACCAAAAGCAACCTGGGGAGGAAAGGGTTTATTCCCACTTACAGGTTACAGTCCATCATCGAGGGAAATCAAGGCAGGAACTCAAGGCAGGAGCTTGAAGCAGAAACTATGGAGGCTCTCTCTCTCTGCTCATTAGCCTGCTCAGCTATCTTTTTCATAGCCAGGCCCACCTGCTAGGGATGGCGCCACCCACAGTGGGCTGGGCCCCCCTTCATTAACTAGCAACATAGAAAATGTCACACAGACATGCCTGCAGGTCACTGTAATGGAGACAATTCTTCAATTGAGTTTCACTCTTCCCAGGTGACTCTAGGCTTGTATCAAGTTGATATCTGATAACCATAGCATAGAGTCTCTTCGTGGATAACCAGAGACACACTTCACTTCCACATCATGTCATGAAGCCCACAACAGAACCAAGTTCACGGTCATCAGGGGCTCATTCTGCCTTTCTTTCTCCATGCTTGTCTTTACTGAGTCATATCTTGGGGAAGCCCTGGTGGAGCCGGGGGAGTGTCCACGGGCTCTGCTGATGGAGATAGGATGCCCCCCCGCCTCCCCCTCCGCGCCCTCAACAGCTGATAACTATGAGGAACTGTCCCAGAGGCCATCTGAGAGGGCTGCTTGCCATCTTCTGTTAAGGCATCCGACAGGAAACATGTGAGCATCCAAGGGCGGCTGAGCCCTGTAGGCAATGCTGCAGAAGCACAGCTTGTTAACTAGCTCAGCCACACATCCCACATGGCTCCGTCTAAACAAACTTGTGTGTGTATCTGAGTAAAAGGCACACTTTGAAGCGGCACATCTCAGCTCTGGAAGCCAAGAACATTAGAAGCAGCTTGCTGTGGGTTTTCGTTTCTTGGGTATGCTGTGGCTGGGACAGGGAGAGAGTGAGGGGTGGTCCATTTGGGGGGTGAGGATACAGACTTAAGTTATCCACTGACATCTGCAGGCCATTATGCTATAAAGCCAGGAAGATAAGTCTGCACGGTGCTAATAACCCTAAATGGGAACCAGGAACTGTGGGAAACCTCCGCTTGACCAGGTTTATACGCAGCGTCTGTTAGGGCAAGGGAAAGATCACAGGGGCCGCCACGACGTGCCCGGGGGCTCTCGGCTGAGAAAGGCATCTAAGGATCTTAAAATCAACACTTTTCATGGTGAAAGGAGGCGGCAGCATGAGCTAGAGAGTACCGTGGGAGGAGTCCAAGCTCTGATCTCACAATTTCTCCAGCAAAAATAACATGAGTTGGGGCCAAAGAAAAGCGATCCCGTTGCCTAGATTCGTTTCTGATTTCTTCTTCCAGTTCTTGCGCACAATGCCCGCTCTGTCCAGGATCCAGGCCCAGAAGAACCGGCATTAATTTTTTTTTCCCTTTTAAATCACTGGCCTTATCATATACATATTAGCAAGCCTGGAACAACGCAATCACAGCAGTTTCTCTCTTTCTCTTTCTCTCTCCACGCTTGTATTTAGAGAGCCCCAAACCACTTCTCTTTGTGAAGGGCTAAGTAAGCCAGAGTGCATGCTGACAGAGGCACGGCCTCCAGCTGCCAGTGGCGGCTTCCGACTAGATGCTCCACACTAACCACAAATGTGCGTGGCAGCTTTCTGCAAGGCTCCCACCCGGCAACCAAACAAAACACTGCAGAGCCAAAGGGGGGGCTGGGGGCGGGGGAGGGGAGGCGGGGCTCCCGCAGGTGGCCTCTCTGTGTGGTTAGCTTCCGAGTTCCAGCCCGAGCTTCCAGGAGGATGTGTGGAGAATGACCCTCACCCCCTGCCTGAGGATGGGCTCCTTAGGTGACGCAGCATCCCTCACCCGAACCATGCAGGCCCCCCTCTGGGTTTCAAACTTCTAATGAAGTTAGCTGAATCACCTAAGGTTTGCTGTTGCCATGACTGCTCGTGTCTGAGGAGGAGAGAAAAGTCTGTGGACGGACCCCCTGAAAGTGGGTTACTTCAAGGCAACCCAAGTCTCCATTTCCGTAGTTTTCCAGTGGAACTTCCTTGGGTGGGCCTTTTCCAAATGCAGTTGAGAAAGGGGGCTGCCCAGGGCAAATCCACACCCGTGTGGTGCTGAGAGCCGTCAGAAAGCCGGCGGCGGCCCCTAAGTGGATCCATCTCACACAGCTGTCGTGCCGACAGGGGTGAAGAAGTAACAGGCTGCCGGCGGCGGCGCACGCCTTTAATCCCAGCACTCGGGAGGCAGAGCCAGGCGGATCTCTGTGAGTTCGAGGCCAGCCTGGTCTACAGTGTGAGTTCCAGGACGGGCACCAAAGCTACACAGAGAAACCCTGTCTCGAAAAACGGGGGAAAAAAAAAAGAAAGAAGAAGTAACAGGCTCCTCCTCCTCCCCGGAGCCTCTCCCTAAGTATCTTTTCCTCGGCCAGGGTCAAGAACAGACTAAGCAGGCTTGGGGAGAGAGAGAGAGAGAGGAGAGAGGGAGAGGAGAGAGAGCGTGCCCATGGCCCCATAGTTAGCAAGCCCCAACTTCTAACGCACATTTCGTGCAGGGATGGATATAAGTTGTATCTCCTCCGGGGCTGAGGAGATGGCTCAGCGGGTTAATGCCACATGAGCCTGTGTGGGGATGGAGACAGAAAGATCGCTGGACTACCGGGCAACAGACCAGCTCCAGTTTCAGTGAGAGTCGCTGTCTCAAGGGAATGAAGCCGAGAGTAACAGAGCAAGGACCCCTGGCATCCTCCTCTGGCCTCTGTACCACACATGTGCACACACATACATTCACACATGTACACACACACACACACACACACACACAAATGATAAGAGTAAAAGAAATCGTACCCCAATTTACACATGCCTCTTAAATACAAACCTTAGACTAGAGAGAGAGCTCAGCCATACAGTTCAGGTGTGAATGGAAGTGCTGAACGCACAAGTGTGCAATTACAAACCGTTACTGACTAAAAAGGTTTTTTGTTTTGGTTTGGTTTGGTTTTGGTTTACTAGTGACGGGGTCTGTAGCCCAGGCTGACCTCAGACTACCTCTGTAGCCGAGGATGACCCTAACCTCCCGAGTTCTGGGATTACAGACATGTGACACCATCATGATTCATGGAACCCAGGACCTCGTGTAGTGCATGCTAGGCAAGCACTCCACCAACTGACTGCAGAGTTCTTGGTGTGTGTTCTTGTCTGTCACTGACCCACTGGGAGGAAGACACAGACCATTCTACACACGTCCACTAGTATCCTGACCCAGCTTCTGCCGAGCGCCTGACTTCCTTTTTTCCCATGGGTTGGGCTTGATACCATCAGCAAGATTGAGTGAGCACTGTGCTTACGAGGCAAAAACTTGCCACTTCCACGTTCCCAAGTCCGGGATGTGAAACCTGAGCTTTGATTAGCTCTCGAAGCCAAGTCTGACAATAGCCCATGTCGACTCTCAGGCCCTCCTCTGTGGAGCCCTGTGTCCCTAGTAAAGCATGCTCCCCAGAGGCCTGAGGGTGTGGCTCAGCTGGTGGAATATGTTTGCCAAGCATAAACAAAGCCCTGGGTTTGATCCCTAACACCACGTAGAGTGGAATATCGTGGCCTACACTGGGGACCCCAGCACTTTGGAGATGAAAGCAGGAGGGTCAGAAGTTCAAGGACATCCTGAACTACCTAGTAAGTTTGAGACTGGCCTAGGCTACTCACAACACTGTCCAAAAACAGTTAGAAAAGCTAAAAAAAAATAGTAATTCCACTGGCTTCATACGCAGGTGGTTTGACAGGGAGGGATGTCAATGAAAAAGGAGGTTGCATCTCTTTTTAAATAAGTGGCTGGGGGATCAGCAATGGCTCAGCAGGCAGGGTGCTTGTCACAAAACCTGACTCCCCTGAATTCAGTCCCTGGAACTCACATGGTGGAAGAAGAAAACTGTCTCCTACAAGCTGTCCTCTGACCTCCACGTGCATGAGAGTGTGCCTACACGTCACAATCACACACACACACACACGCTAAAATAAACAAATGTAAAAGTAAATGTTTCTTAAATAGTTCTAACTCTAGAAGAGAACTTGATGTTGGAGATGGAGAGATAGATGGAAGTTAGGAGTTGCAGAAATTCAGTTCCCAGCACCGCATCTGCTCACAACCTCCTGTAACTCCAGTTCCAGAGAATCCAACACCCTCTTCTGACCTCTGAAGGCATTGCACACATGTGCACAATACCCCCTCCACATACATACAAGCAATTAAAAAATAACAAAATATCTGAAAAAAGAATTCAGATTTTGTGTGTGTGTGTGTGTGTGCAGGATGTATCCTTGAATGTGAGTAGGCTCCTCCCACCACTTACCATTGAGTACTGGGGGACAATCCCATCGGCATCACCATGATAGATGTAGACTGCTCCAGCAAAGTCATCCTCCTTAGGTGCACCGACAGCGACATCTGAGGGGAGACAGCTAATTAGAAAGGCCACATGGCGTGAGATCAGTGTGGCTTCCTTAACTCCAGTCACCATGTCTGAATTCCCTGGTTTCAGGACTTCTCCACTGTTCATTACTCGAACATTTAACCAGGCAAACGGTCTCCTAACATTGAAAAGCTGAGAAGAATTTACTCCAGGAAAGTGTCTCTCCTCATCCTCAGAGACAAGGACACTGAAGTAATCCATAAAAGCAACACAAATGAAGACAACCCATCCTAACCTGCCTGCCAGAGTGCGCTAGTGTGCAGATGAAATGTCAACTTTATTTTAGGTGAAGGAAGCAGATAAAGTGACATTCATTTCACACGCACACCAACATTATTTCCACAGATGACAGCTCTTGGAACAAAGCCTCAGTCTTCCTTCCCTTTCTCTCTTGTCTTCTAATAAGTCATGTGTCTGTCTGCTAATGTGAGGTCAAGGGTCAGGGGTACGTATTCCCATGACCTCAAGATGACAGTCCTCTCACTGAATGAAGCCATCTGTGGCCAATGGTGTGAAGTACTGAAGCATATCTGGCCTAAGCAAGAGCCACATTCCAACCCTGCAGAAGCGGCTCCTAAGGTTTGTACACTCTACATACAATAAGGGAAAGAGATTTTACAAAGACCAGAGAGAAAAGAGGCCGTGGAGAGTACCATTGTCCAAGAAGAAATAGGCATTAGGTACATATACCACCCATTCTTCTGATGCACACATACTCAACCAGGCTGACATTATCAGGGGAGAAAATATCTAATTCTCTCCTTAGTCACTTCCCCAACAACATGACAGAGCACCCAGATGCAGAGGCAAGCATTTTGTGATGGGAAGAAGCCCCCGTGGACCAGCCCCAGAGACCACTGCAAGCACATAGCACAGAGTACGGAGCAGATGGGAATGGATTGTGCAGACGTGACATTCTGGTGCCCAGTCCAGCTCTAAGAGTTGCCCTTTCCCCCCATGGGAGTTGGTGTGCCTTTAGGGGTAGAATGGGGAATCCAGTCACAAACAAGGGACAACATTAGAGCCTGACAAGCTGCTGCACCTGGAGGGCCCCCGGGCCCCCCGAGAGGCTCTACTCACCTGGGAACCCGTCATCATCAAGATCACTCAGGCTGGCAATGCTCTCCCCAAAGTGTGCATTGTAGGCACCATCTCCGGTCAGGGACAACTGTTCCTCAAGGGCTCCCTGGGAAACAGGATGGAGGTGGAGGGAAAGAAGGAGGGGGCCGAAAAGCACAGTGAAAACTCGGAACTCAGAACACCACCCTCTTAGGGCACAACCGTGGACAGGAAACAGATGGCCACAGACCCCAAATGTCTTTCCTCATAGCAAAGACCCATGCAATGAGAGAGTCTACAAATAGCCCGAGATATGTCTTAGGAGAAAGACAATAAGTAGCAGGTAAACCAAGGACTGAAGGTCATCTGGCCAAATTTGAACAGGTGAGCCTTCCCTCTCCCTGTCCCCAGTGTCCTTCCTCTCTGCTCTCCTTGTAGCCTAACTCTTCCCCAAAAGTGTGTTCTTGTTTTCTTTGAGGCAAGGTCTCACTATGTAGCTCTGGTTATTCTCTATATAGATCAGGCTGTCCTCAGATTCATAGAGATTCTCCTGCCTCTGCCGTTTGAATGCTAGGATTAAAGGCGTGAGCCGCCACACCTAGCCCAACACTGTTTTAAGGTGCAACAGAGTAAGAAATGGTCACCTTTACCCCCTCCCTGACTTCTCATCTGACTTTAAACTTCCCAGCCTTTTCCCAAGGTTTTCTAAATTGTAAGGAGGGGGTCCCTGGGGGCCTCCTCTCCTCAGCACAGATGACCTGACTGTGTTTGTCTAAAAAAAAAAAAAAATGCTTAGGATGGTCCAGGACCAAGGTCCTAGGTCCAGTTCAGGAAGAGAGGAGATAGGCTCAGGGAGGCAGGCCCTCCCCAGCACAGCCTGCTGTAACCTTTGCACTCTTGAGCCTCCCACCCCAGGATGTCAATTTGAGATTAAGAAGTCTCCTGCCTTCCTCAGGGCTGGCCTGAACAAATCTATTTCCTTCCTCAAATTTCTGCCTGGTTTTTGTAGAGAGGTGAGGGGCAGGAACCTTAGAGTCTGGTAACAAAAGGAGTGCACACTTCTCATTTTTCCTTCTCTTGTGCCTTTTGGTTGTTTTGCACAGAGTACGCATCAGCGATCTTGTCAGAGGGTCCTGGTCTCTGCCCAGTGGCACCTGTGGTCAGAGGTGCATCACATGTGGCTCAGCTTTGAGATTTCTGGGCAATGGTGCATATGGCAGCAGAAGCCATTCCAGAGTGCCCATGGTCCCCATGAATCACTGGCATACAAATACCAGGACACTGAGACACCTGACATCTGCAGGCTTAAGAATCTTTAAATCTTCCCTGGTGTAGAGCATTTTGGACCTACATACACCCACAGTCCACCATGCCAGGGTCTGGCTTTCATTGTGACTAAATTTCTGTTGCTATAAACAGAACTTGAAGCTTGAAAAAATACATAAAGATCTGATGATTTGATTTATTTAATTGGTGAGACCCCACCCCAAAACACAGAAGGTTGACCCTTGGTGTCTGGGAGTATTGGTGCCCGGACCCCTAGCATACTAAAACTTCAGATGTCTAAATTCCTTATATAAAACAGTGCAGTATTTGCGTAGAACCTATAGCTGCCCTCCCTAACCTTTAACCATGTCTAGATTACTTACAATGTCTAATACGATGCAAATGATATGCAAAAATGTTTTACATTATGTCATTCAGGGAAGAATGGCAAGGAAACAGTCTAAACATGTTCAGTAGGAACTATGTTTTTTATCCCCATGTGTTCGTTCAGTCTGTGGCTGGTTAAATCCAAGCACTCTTGGTCACAGATGGCCAGTTCTGTAATTCTTCCTGCTAGTGTGACGGGGAAACCCCAAGTCCCTCTGTGTATATCCACCCCTGGACTGTATGGTCATCTTGCTTAGACCACATGACACCTCCTGCTTTGTAGAGGAAGAAATGATCAATTTCAAGCTACTTGTTCATTTTTCACATAAGATTTGGCGGGTTTAGATTCAAGCTCAGGCTACCTACTCTATTATCTCCACTCCTCTACAGTGCCATACGATCACTACCCAGGTGGGCTGTGGTGCCACAGAAACGAGACTACCCTGGTACAGAGTGTAGCCATATAGCAGTGAGGCGCGTCAGATGGGGTGCGGCCAGTGTGTGAACACTTGGGGTCTTCTTTCTCATGGGTCCCCTGCCTCTACTGGATACTGCCCTGCCCTCTTCCCAAGGTCCCATCCACCCACCTCCACCAGCTGCAGAGGAGGAAGAGGCACCTTTGTGCCTGTCTCTCCCCTTTATGATTCTACAGAATAAGGGACCCTGTGCTTATAGCCCTTGGCCAGTTTATCATCTGGTACCCAGCATGGACTCCACGCCGAACTAGGTAGGGGAGGCTCCTTTGCCCCTATCTCTCCCAACACAGACTCCGTGCTGAACTAGGTAGGGGAGGCTCCTTTGCTCCCATCTCTCCCAGCACAGACTCTGTGCTGAACTAGGCAAGGGTCCTGCTACTTCACCACTCGGCCCACATGCATCTTTCTGTTGGGAGCTCTGCCCAGTCCAGTCCACCTTTCCACTCAATTCCTACTCCTTCCTCAAGATTCCTCGCCAACATCCTATCCCTGTCTCTCCAGAAAGATGCACATAAATTCTCAGAGAGGTGGCAGAGCCTCGAGATAAAGCCAACTTTCTGAGGTCAAATCCCAGCCTCTCTACTTTTCAGCTGTGAGATTTCAGACAAGTGAGTTAATCTTCTGACCCTTGGTTTATTTCATCTGAAAAATGGAGACCATTACTACCACTGACATCACTTTGAGAAAGCAGGAAAAGCCACACACAGCACCCAACAGCCATTAAGCTTCTCCCTGGGTCCTGCACTGTATACAACTGTCCATTAATGGATCATTAAGCCTTTTCATTCAGGACCCACGTCTTCATCTCCTCTGGGTAACATGGCCCAATGTGCAATCTACTTCCAGCAGGATCCAGTGGGCTAGTCACTATGACTGGACAGTTGTCCCTCCCTAATACCCACCTCCTCATTGACCCATACTGTACTCACATTTCCTTTGTTGAGGTAGACAGTAACCTGCCCTTCATCTCTGATCTCAGAAAACATGGGGGCCCCCACGAGCAGGTCAGAGAGGCCATCCATGTTCAGGTCAACTGCGCACAAGGAGGAGCCGAAGTAAGAGCCCATCTGCAACCAAGTCCAATCACAACAACGTGTTCAGAGGCTGTCCTTAACCCCCAAGGCCCCTCTTCATCAGCACATGTCCCCAGCGCCTCAGAAGTTGTGTCAGCTGAGCAAATAGTGACATACCCAACTCCTGTGGACTTTCCAGTCAATAAGACACCAAAGCTAGTCATCTTACAGACCCCTTTCCTAGAGCCTGATCAGGGCAGGTAAAGGGACAGTCCCCTGGGAACGAGACACTATGTTTATATATGTGCTCCATATGCCAGACATTTGACAAGGCATAGCAAGGAGGGATATGAAGTCTCACAACACAAGCAGGTAGGAGAATATGACATGGGGCACATATCCTCCCCAGCCTCGCACAGAGTAAGGGATGGGGCATGAGCTGGCAGGACAGAAGAACATGTAACTCACATTCCATCAGGTTTGACAGATGGGGAAATAGGGCCAGTTTATACTGGATCTCCTTGAATCAGAGTGAAATCAGTACCTGCTGCTTTATTATTCTCTCTCTCTCTCTCTCTCTCTCTCTCTCTCTCTCTCTCTCTCTCTCTCTCTCTGTGTGTGTGTGTGTGTGTATGTGGTGTGCATGTTCATGTATGTGCCTGTTCATATGAGTGCAGGCACATATGTGTGCAAGTACACTTGTGCTGGTACATATGCACATTTCCACCTCCCAAGTGCTGAGGTTACAAGAGCATGCCACCACCCTGGGCTTTTTCATGTGCAGTCTGAAGATCCAAGGATCACACTCAGGTCCTCATACCTGTACAAGGACTCTGTAACTAAGCCCTCTCCCTCGACCCAGTATCTGTTATTTTAAACACACCATCTTAAACACAAAGACCAAAGACCCAGCCTTTTGCCAGGATGAAACAGGCACCTCAAGTGTGCTTACAGGTGGTGTCTGAGTTGTGTGTCTAAGTCATGAGAGTGATTGGTGGAGCCCACGGGCCGAGCTGAAGGAGTAACCCTACCCTGCTGTGGCTCACATCACCAGGAGAGCCGGCTCCCAGCACATCAGCTTTTCCATTTCCAAAAGACCATCTACATTTTGACTTTCAGTACCTATTCCAAATGCTGACAACATGTTCATTTTTTTAAAAGACCAATTGCTATGGGATTGGAGACCTGTAACCCCAGCTACTCAGAGGGCTGATATAAGAGTACCCCAAGTTCAAGGCCAGCCTGGCAAACTTAGTGAGATCCTTCCTCTAAAGTAAAAGTAGATTTTTTTTTTTTACTGGAGAGATGGCTCAGTGGTTAAGAGCCTATGCTATTCTTGCAGAGATCCTGAGTTCTGCTCCCTGCACCCACACTGAGCAGCTCACAAGCGCCTCCAGCTCCAGGGGCATGTCACATCACTGGTTCACATGGGTACTGCACTCACGTGCACATGCCCACACACATGGACATGTCGTTTAAAAAAAATCTTTAAGTAAAAGTTACAAAAGAGCTAAGGATATAGCTAAGTATAGAGAGCTTTGCCCAGCAAGTCAAGAGACCCTAGGTTAATATTCAGTTCTGTGATAAATAAGTAAATAAGCAACTACTGTGCATGCCCTAAGCATGCAAGCTGTGTCTGCCCTAAAGGGTTGTAGGTATGAAACTTCTAACAAAAAGAAAAGAGAACATGCAATATTGTTTTAAGTAAATGCTTTCAAATGGAAGGGTCTGGAATTTTCTTGTACTTGTGAGACCTGTTGGCAGCTGACCTTGGGGAGTTTGAGAGAGGTGGAGAGAGCTCCAACCTACTTCCTGCAGTTAACACTAGCCCTGGAGGACTTGGGAAGGTTGCTTAGAAACCCAGGCAAGGATAGAAGGGCAGAACCAACAGCTGTTCTCTTGGGCTGAGCCCCAGGGGGTGATTGGCTTAACCGAAGCAGGCCATTTAGCTTGGTGTCTTCATGGATGTTCAATCTAAAATCCTCCAAGTTTTTTATATGCAGACATTTCACCCACTGAGGTAAGTCAATGACACTTCAACATGTCAAGGACATACTTTGGACCCAGAGCTCCTTAACTGGCAATCCGAGTGTGTCTATGTCTGTATTTATGTCTGAACCACAAACTTAGTAATGATCTTGTGCCTACTGTCGTAAGGTGTCACTCAATAAAGAGCAGACCACTTTTCTTTTTTTCTTTTCTCTTTTTTTTTTTTTTTTTTTTTGGTCATTGTTTATGGTTTTCTTTCTTCCTGAAAGGGAGCCAGGATACTAGACAATTTGAACCAAGGTGGAGGCAAAGAAAAGCAGAAGTAAATGGGTGGCTCTCTGAGTTGGAACCTTCTGTGTGTGTGTAGCCCTGGACAAAAGGGCAAAGCTAGAGACACCCTTTAGAAGCCCAGGGGGTCATGTCCTCCCCCTCTAAGATAATGGAGAAGCTGAGAATATCTTCTAGCAATAAGCAGATGTCTACGAAGGGACAGGCCTATGTCAAGGTCGGATGGATGATGGTGAGCACGTGGTAACTGGAGATGCTGAGAGAGGACAGTGAAGGCCACAGGGCATGGGGTGTAGATGATTTAGGGGTAACTCCAGAGCAGGGCAATGGCTCTGCAGAGAAGAGCCCGAAAGAAATGATGGGGTCCCGGAAGACGCCTCAGGCAGTAAAGTACCTACTGTGTAGGTATGAGGACCTGAGTGTGAGCATCTATAATCCTGGTGCTGAGGAAGTTCACAGCCTAGCCAGCCCAACTGAGGGCCTCTCTCAAAAATAAAAGAGAGAGAGAGTGACTGAGGTACACACCAGACATCAGCCTCTGGTCTCCATAAGCACACATATACATGCATGTACACCAGCATGCACACACATGTGTATATCCACATGACCACACACACACACACACACACACACACACACACACACACACACACACACACACACACACACAGAAGGGAGGGAGGGAGCATGGAAGAATGGGAGGAAGGAGGGGGAGAATTAGGAAGGTGGCTGTGCAGCTCCGGTAAAGCACCTTGGCCCTGCAGTCTCTGCATGGAAGAACCTGACTCACCCTATCACATTGAGGCCATTCAAACAGATGTGTGTCTGTCCTAGAACTCAATGCACTGATTCCTCAGGCAGCTTAGACAAGGTTCTCAAGGGCTGCATGATTTCCCCTGACAGCACCAAGTCTCAAATCATCCCCCAAACCTCACTCCTTTCGACACAATTGGTCATGGAAGCCCCTCTCCAAACCTAGAGGCTTTGGGCAGAGAAGAGAAGCTGCAGGCAGATTGACAACAGAAGGACACTCAGGAAACAGCAGGGGGCAGGGTCCAGTTCTTCAAGCACTCTGAAACAATGCTCACACCTTGATTTGTAGGCATATCACCCAAAACGGACACAATCATCCATTTATCATAAGACAGTCACTTGTTTGGGGGGCTCTCTCTGTTTTATATATCACAACTAGTATATAGCTATTTCTTTTCTAACTTTAGAGTTGCTTAGAAAACTTGTTTTGCAAATTTTTCACTGTTACTTTCTCATGCTAATGCTTTGGGGTTTGGGAAATGTTAAAATAACACATGCCAGCACACTTCCGAGAGCTAAAAGCAAAGCCAAGTTTGTGGGTACCTTTTTTTTTTTCATGTAAAGGTTATGATCATTATACACTAAGTGTACATATTAAGGTTGTTAAAATTGCAACCATAAGAAAAATATAACTACTATGTGTAAGTGGGATCTTTGGAATAGTGAACACCGTTCACTGTTGGAACAACATGGAACGTTCCCAGACTGCTGTGTAGCAAGAACAAGGCCGAGTGGGAATGAAGCGGGACCCAGGGGAAGCTGGCCAGGAAGGAACAATCATTGTTTTCCCCTTGTCTCAGGGAAACTGTGGGCAAAACCTCCTGGCTGCTCTCCCCTCCCACATTCCATGCATCCTTAGCTTTGTTCCAGAACCCACTAAGGCCTCCAATGGCTTCCATGATCCCCCTATCCTCCTAGCCTCTACCATATCCACTGAGCCACAAAGCTCAGCCACACTGTCCTGATGATCTGAGCCAGAAAAACACAGGCAGGAGAGGGAAGCCCTAGAAAAGGATGTGAATGAATCACCCAACCATTCTACTGACTGAATCTCATGGATTACAGTGGAAACTTCCAGAAAACGGGAGGGGGGGGGGAGATGAGATGAGTGTGGTAGGGCTAGGGCGGCATATAACCCTTTTCCAAGACAGCCTTCAGAAATGGCGTTGTGGTTATTTGTTTCTCACCCATCTAAGAACATTGAGATACAAAGCCATTACTTGAAATAAATAATTACACACACACACACACACACACACACACACACACACACACACACACCCCTCATAGTGTTTAAGGAACTTTATAATTTTGTGCTGGACTGGCTATCTTGTGGTACACACGGCTGATAGGTTGTGGGTTGAACATCCCTGTACATGAACTAAGGTGGGTTTCATTTGAATTTTCTTTATGTGATAGCACTTCCCCTGGCAGTGACAGTCAGGGGTCAAGGACATGGGAAGAGGAGGTGGCATCAGGCAGATCAGACAAGGACAATGATCAGTAGCTGATCTTTCTGGGTTGGATTGGATTGTACATGCATGAGACAGCTAGAGGAAGACAAAAGTGAAGGGAGGGACGGACAGACAGACGGCTCACATCATTTGGATGCAGCACCTGGATTGTGACACCTTTGAAAACAAATCTGTAACTTAGTACAAATGTGTACAAACTACACCCTCAGGTTATACACATCCTCGAAAGGAACTGCCTCCCATATGAACCACATCAAAAACTCACCTTTTTTCCTGATGCCTGAAAAATCTTCATTAAGGTCCCTGATCTTCGGTCAGCTCTAAATATATAAACCTATGGAATGAAAACAAACAGCCTCGTCAGGACGGAGCACTGACTAGAGATGCTTATCTCTGTCTTCCTGTTGTCTCTCGCAGGTGTGTGGACACCGGTGAAGGATAACAGAATTGCTGACAGAGCTCTTGGCAACTCCCAAACCAAAGTGTCAATCCTGGGGTGGAGAGGATCTCCCACAGCTCCTGAACCCATGGTTCGTGCACAGAAGGGCCCTGAAGAACTCCTCAATTAGAACTGAGTGGTTCAACTCCCGGGAGATAGGTGGTCTTTCTCTTTAAATTAACTCCTTCAGTCCTGGGAGTTAGAGCTTTAGTGGATGTCACAACCTAAGACAAGGCGGTAAAGGTGAGCACTGGGATAACCTCTCCAACGTGATTCCACATAGTAGTTAGAACTGTGGAATCTGTGTGGACAAACATGGGATTCGTTTGGGGAAATAAGCAATGAAACATTAAATAAATTCCTTTATGGTGGGATTTTTTTTCAGAGCCCTTAGCACTATGAATTCGTTGATGTCTGATTTGTTCTTTTTTAAGAGATTTATTGATTTTATTTTTTGTATATGAGTGTTTTGCCAACATGTATGTATGTGCACCATATTGTATGCCTGGTGCCCACAGAGGTCAGAAGAAGGCATTTCACACACACACACACACACACACACACACACACACACACACATACACAAACACACACATACACACACACACACACACACACACACACACACACACACACACACACACACACCAGAACTGGAGTTACAGATAGCTGTTAGCCACCATGTGGGTGCTGGGAACCAAACCAGGTCCTCTGCAAGAGCAGTTCTTAACCACTGAACCATCTTTCCAGCCCCTCATCATTACATCTTCAAAAATTATTTCTGTGCTCCCTCTCCCTCCCCTTTCTTGTGTGTGTGTGTGTGTGTGTGTGTGTGTGTGTGTGTGTGTGTGTGTGTGTGTGTGATGTGTTGAGAGTCCAGAAGAAGGCTTCAGATCTCCTGGAGCTGGAGTTACAGGTGGCTGTGAGCTGCTTGACGTGGGTGCTGGGAACTAAATCTTAGTCCTCGACAAGGGCAGCCAGCCCTCTGAATCTCTGAGCCATCCCTCCTGGCGCTCTGGTTACACAGTAAGTGTAGATGAGCTGATGAGAACCAGGGTAGAGGGCCCTTTCCTGGGCTAAGGAGCAGCCATGCTGGTGTGAAGGCCTTGGTGTTCTCACGCCAGGAGTGAAAGGACCCAGACCCTAAAGGTCACAGTGGAGAAGTCTGGTGGCCCTGCTTCCTCTCCAGGCGGCGCCATCATCACTGTGGTTTTTTTCTTCCACTATACAGAGAAATTCATGTGACTCAGAAAGAGCCAGTTCTTGGCAGAAGTTACCAGAGTTCAGCTGTGCAATCCCCAACAGTCTCTGCCTCACCTCAGAGCCCTGGTTTATTTGGTTTCGTTTTCAAAGGAGCTCTCTCCACAGCATCCTACTCCTGAAACACAAGCAGTGAGTGCTGCCTGCTGCCCAAGATGGTCCAGTGAGATGGCCTCATGAGAAGGACTGACAAGCCCTGTCAGCTGACGCCTTCTGGGCTCTGACTTCTCGGCTCAAGGTGCTCATTAACCAGGGTGTGGGTTCCAGAACTCAGGATTCCACTGCTCTGAACCACAGAAGATATGGTCAGACATGAACACTGCTCTACCCTTGGGACTATGGGCCCAAAATGTACACCACTGTTCAGCTTTTCCCAGTACTGTGGTTTGAATGTGAACTGTCCCCATAGGCTCATGTGTTTAAACACCTGGTTCTCAGCTGGCATCACTGTTGGGGAGGGTTGCGAGGAGGGGCCTCTTGGAAGGTCCATGGGGGCAGGCCTTGAGGTTAATGCTCTGCTTCTGGAGTGTGGGAGCTTCCTTTCTACCACCACACCTTCTGCGTAGTGACAGAGTCTATCTCCTCGGACTCTGAGTCATAATAAATTCTGCTTTCCCTAAATTGCTTTCTGACAGGCATTTAGCCACAGCAATGAGGAGTAATGAGTACAGCCAGTGAGATAAATGTGGATCTCCTGCGCGGGAATGCCTGAACCGTGACGCTGCCCACAGCCACAGTTCCCCTTATCAGGCCCTTAGAGGCCATGATTCCTAGAGAGTCTCAGAGTGCCCTGGACTACGGGGTGTCCCCTACCTTCTTGGCAGCTACGCTAGAGAAAGTCAGATCTACATGTTCCCAGGCTACCCCTGGTAACACTAGTCTTGAGAACACAATGGATTTTTGTTTTGTTTTGTTTTCTGAAACATCAGGGAAACCAATGAAAATCAGGCATTATAAAGCTCTGAAGACATTGAAGATGAGATCTGATTTCATCAGGTCAGAGTTGCTTGGGAAGGTGGAGGTATTTGAATTAGGACCAGATTGGATGCTCTTCCTCTGGAGGGTACCATGATGTCAAGGATAGTCTTTAAAATCACACACAATGTCAGTTGCAAGTGCTCTAAGCTTCCAAGGTGAACCCTCCTAGTGACCAGAAGGAGACAGTCAGAGGGGAGGATTCCCCATCAGTCTGTTACTTACTCTTCGGCCACCGGAACAAAACACACTGGAAAGCCTCTACAGGGCAGCACGCTCCCGTCCACTGCCTGGTATTATGTCATGCCTCAGGCTTTTCTCCTCACCTTTCCAATGCCTTCATCCTGTGGGGCACCTCCTACCACATCAGTGATGGATGGATGAGAGAAGTGGCCAGCGGTCACTGCATAGCCTGAACAGGATGGGTAGAAATCAAGGACATGCTTGAGAAGGAGGTCATATAAGAAAAACTACGCAGCAGAAGAAAACATTTCTTTGGTAGTATTCTATCCAGACAGTATGCTCTAGTTATTGTTGGGACATAAACCCTTCTGGAAGACAAGTGGCAGCTGTCAATCTCTTTATATTAAATAGCTTGTCTCGTAAAAGTGCATGCTCACAGGACACTGTGAGGGCAGTACCTTCTGATTGTCCCCTATGGAACAAGTAGGGTGCTAAATACTCTGTGTGTTTCTTACTTTGGGGAAATACAATTCTAATGACACAGTCCATATAAAAAAAACATAAAACTTCATGAATGAGCACAATTCTAATGACACAGTCCACACAAAAATGTACAACTTCATGAATGAGCACAATTCTAATGACACAACTTCATGAATGAATACAACTTCACTAATGAGCACAATTCTAATGGCACAGCTTCATGAATGAGAATACACATCCTTAGGGGTACAACCCCATCCAGGTCAAGAAACTAAACATAGGGCTAGGGATTCAGCTCAATGGTAGAGGGATTGCTTGGTATGCATAAAGCCCTGGGTTCAGCCGGGCGGTGGTGGCGCACGCCTTTAATCCCAGCACTCGGGAGGCAGAGACAGGCGGATCTCTGTGAGTTCGAGGCCAGCCTGGTCTGCAGTGCGAGATCCAGGAAAGGCGCAAAGCTGCACAGAGAAACCCTGTCTCGAAAAACCAAAAAAAAAAAAAAAAAAAAAAAAAAAAAAAAAAAAAAAAAAAGCCCTGGGTTCAATTCCTAATACTGCAAAATATTTCAATATTCTTTTTTTGCATATAGACAGTACCTGGCTAGCCACCAATGCTCAAGATTACCGAGTAATATTCAAAGCCAATCTGCATGAGTCCAGAGTATCTGCGGTTATCAATGATGTCACGTCCTTTTTAAGAGAAGTGAGAGATACTGATGATGGATGGATGCGTGGATGGGTGAGCAGATGGGCAGTCAAAGAATCTGGGCTTAAAAGGAACCCAGAAACAATGGGGGAAGGGCATATGATGTTGATTTAAATGTCTCCTGCTTCCCGCATGCCTAGCTGGCAGGCTGAAATCACACCCCTGCCCAGTAGAAAAAGCTTTCTCATGACCTTCAAACCCTAAGGCTGTGATTACATGTTGACCTGCGACACATGTCGGCTGCTATCACTTTAGCACAACTATCTCATTTTCTACGTGCTTGACTTCTCTCAGCCTGCAGGCTTGCATTATACAAGACTACCACGAGTGATACTCACCCTCAACTACTCCACGCTAATCCCTGTAGCAGATAAGGGCCTCCGGTTTGTTACAGAGAGAAGCCACAGGTCCTGTCCTCAGACCTAAAGCCACCAAGGAGCTGTGACTCTCTGTGCCTTCCCTTAAATCCCTGACTCAGTCTTGAGTCCATTCTAGTCACTAATTTATACAATGCCCTGGGAATGTGAGGCAAAACCCCCACCTCAGGGTGCTCACAGCTTAGTGGGAGATTCAGTACTAGAAGCAAGTGTGCCTCCGCAGCACACACCCTGGGGTTGGGGGCTTCAGTATTCAGAACCTGCACCAGAAACCGTGGGTCTATAACTGACCTCACTGCCTATCAGTCACGTGACTTTGACGAGTTCCGTAATGTCTTCGGACTTCCTCATCTAGGAACTGGACACGGCAGTGATAATGGCTGCCTTATAAGGCTGTTTCAGAAACTGGAAGAAATTACATACCAATTTGAATAGAGGGGGTCAGGAGTTTCCCTTGGCTTAATTTATATACAGCAGGCATGAGAGACATTATTTTGTCATTACTAACCTTCCTAAATTTAGTTTAATTTTCAGTCCACTTAAGGCCTGGACTGAACAAAAAGAATTGGTACTGTTACACAAACAAAACAGTCCACCTCTGTGTGCGTTTTTGTTTTTTGTTTTTTTGAGACAACTCTTGCTAGGTTGTCCAGGCTGACCTCAAATTTGTGATCCTCCTGCCTCTACCTCCAGAGTGCTAGGATTACAGGTATGGGCTACCGTGCCCAACTTATCTCTGTTCTTAAAAGAGCATGGCCTTCTTCCAGAACCTTCTCTCTCTCCCTCCTCTTCTTTCCTCCTTCCATCTTTGTTTCTTTCCTCCCACCCCACCTTGTTCTGAAATAGCACCTCCCTACGGAGTCTAGAATAGCCTCAAATGTCCTTGATTCCATAAACTTCCTGCCGAAGCTGTGGCCTCCATAGCAAGGACTATGGATACACAGTGATGTACCCAGCCCAGGATCATTTTTGCCGGGTGGTTGCTAAATTAAATTATGCCTATCTTCTTTCTAGACGATTAAAAGAATTGAAAAAATAAGAGAAATTTCCAGAGCCTTTAAGGGAAGCTCAGCACTTGATCTCATGGAAATTCTGATTCTTACTGTTTGGACTTGTTACCAGGAAGCAGACACACCATTCACAATGATCTCTAGGGAAAGCCAGGTTCAACGGCATTCATTCCGTATCTGGCCACCTGAATGTAATTGGCTGCTAAAGCAAGGCAATGGTTGGTCCCCTGGAAGCTTCCCCATCAGATTTTAACAAAGCCATCCAGTTTTCACAGGGTTTCTTCTTTGATCTCCCTACCACCCATGTATGCAACTAAATGTTAAGGAACTCTAATTAAAGTGTAATTAATTAGATTGATGGGTATAAAAGCCAACTACTGCTTCTTCCTATTAATAAAGCAATAATCCATGAGCTTGTGGTCATGGTTAACACTCACAGTCCACCTTGTCACCTACAGACTCTCCAGCTACTCACCCAGGTAGGTATACCGCCTGCTCATAATCATGTCATCGTTCAGTTTATAGTATGTGTTGTCTGTGAGATTCAGCACCTTGACCGTCCCAGCCCAATAAAATGAGCCTGGGGCACCCATGACCACCAGCTCCTAGGGGAAAAATCCAAAAGGAGACAGAGAGAGTTAGTTGATACGTTGAAAGATGCAGTCACAGCAAAGGAGAGTTGAGCATTGACATACAGTGCCTTTCTACGGCAGTGACACATTCGGTCCCAGATCCTGGGCAATCTGGACTCTACCATGTAGCCAGGATTTTCAGCCTAAAGATGAGATTACTAAGCAAGGGGAGAGAATGAGTGACAGACCAAGTCCCTGTTTTGGCCATCAGTGAGGCTTCATGGACACCCTCACCCTCCAATACACCCCCCCCCCAACACACACACACAGGTTCATCCTAAGATAAAACACGGAATGGTGAACAATTGATACTGTTCCTAAATCATGTGACTCCAGGAAACAGTGCTCAAGAGAACACAGCAACATCACACCTGGCATGGTGGGGCACTCCTATAATCCCAACAGTTGGGAAATGGAGGCTGGAGGATCAGGAGTTCAGGGCCAGCCTTGACTACATGGTGAGTTCAAATCTAACCTGAGCTGCATGAGATGTCTCAATAAAAATATTGGAGTTAAATGGCTCTGTTGGTAAAGGGGCTTTTGCAAAAGCCAGACCACCCAAGGACCATCCCCAAAACTCAAGGTGGAAAGAGAAAACTGATTCCTGAAAGTTGTCCTCTGACTACCATACATATACTACCCCAGGCACACCTGCATGCATGCATCAAGTGTGTGTATGTGTGTGTGTGTATATATATATATATATATATATATATATATATATATATATATATATATATATTATATATAATGACAAATAAAATTTTAAGTATGGAAAGAAGGTCCCTAGGGGGTGGGAGAGCACAAAGAGAGAGGGAAGGTAGAGAAGACTGATGGGTGAAAAAAATAACAAAAACAACTTTCATTCGAGAAAAAAAATAAAATCTAATTCTTTTGTAAGTTAATATTAAAAAAATACAACATGCACACACATGGAGCACATACACATACATAGACAAACACTCAAGTCTTTAAAAAAGAAAATAGCTCTATATAATAAAACAAAAATATAGGCACTGAGAAACAGTCCTGGGGTACACTTGAGTTTTTATTGAGATTATAAACTTTTTGAATAACGTATCTGTATAAATACACAGACACAAACCAGGCAGCTGGATCTCCATGTGTATACGGTCCCTTCCTCCACTGGCCCATAGGGCTATGGGAAGCCCTCTTCTCTTCTCTCCATCCCATCCTTTCTTCCTTTATAGACAGATCACCTCCACAGTCACCAGGAGAAGGTGGTGCAAGGCACAATCACTCACCCATCCACTCACTCTCCTCACACTGGTATGAAAACAGTGCCAGTTCTCAAAGGGTGTTTGAAAGGCAAGCCATGGGTTCATGAGAGGAGAGAGACTCTTCCTGGCCTCGTGCTTAAAAAGGAATGTGTAATCAATGCCCAAACACAAAGGGCACCGGAGAGCTTGAGTGATGCCCTCAGGACCAGTTGTATACACAGTGTGGAATTCTCTTCATCTGCAACTTGTTCTGAGCAACAGCAGGAGACTGCAAAGACTCTGCAGGGCCCTGAGTGAGGGACACACTGTTCGCCTGTGATTTGGATTTATCCAGAAGAAACACTAAGTAGATAGTTAATATCTCCTGCTACCTCTCAAGTGTCACAGAGTACATAAACACAGTCATCTTCTTCCTTAAAAATCGTAAAAGATGTCTGGAGACCAAGCTAGTTTGTAAAGCGCTTGCCACAGATGCATGAGGACCTGAGTTCAATCCCCAACACCCACATAAAAATTCAGGCATGGTGGCACGTGCCTGGAATGCTGTCGTGGGGAGAATGAGGCAGGCAGCTCCCTGGAGTTCACTGGTCAGCCAGCCTAATCAGCAAACTCAGGTTCATTGAGAGACCCTGACTCAAAAAAAAGGTGAAGGGCTCCTGAGGAACAACGGCACATGAGGCTGACTTTTGGCCTCTATAGATGCATGTACGCATGCGTACACATATGCACATGTATGTATGCACACACACACACATGCACACACTAATGATAACAATGAAATTGAAAACATGAAGACAAAACTCCTATTTTTCCTCCTTTCTTCTTTTAGTCATCACACAGTCTATCTCATCTCAGCCCAAACTGGCAGATGCCGCCAAAGCTGCGGCCATCCTGGCTGTATTCAAGGGAGACACTGACTTCCTGGAAGCCCTCATGTTTGGCTTTTCCTATTCCCTGTGAGTGGTGGCTGGGTCCTTTTTGGTGCTTTTCACAAATGTCAGAACAATGTGATCAATTCTAAGTTCTCTCTCACACAATACACACAAGTAAAAGACACAGTTGACAAAATCCAACCCCTCAACAAACAGTGTGTGCCTTTCCCCAAGATTCCTCTAAGGGACAAAGTCACCTGGATGCGCCTGAAAGGAGCTGCCAGCCTTTGTCTGCCACCGGGCAGCACAGCATCTACTATTAAATCTGAGCCAAGGAATATCACTTGACATCTCCATGGTGGGCTGGTCCTTCCTTGTCTCCTCTAGAAGCTTGGAGGATGTCACCTCTGATGGTCTAGTCTACAAAAATGGCTAACATTGTCCTTTATCCTCAAGGACACAGGGCATCATAACTCAAAGACGATTGATGACCTCAGGGGCATTGACCCACAGGTCAGTCTCGGGTGGGAACGGTCTGGCCCAACATGGCCACATCCAGCAGGCTACAGCTCACGGCAGTGGCAGAGGGTAGGGGCCAGCAGGAGGGCAGAGGAGGGGCATGGGGCCTGCCTGACCCCTCCAACTACATTTCCTGTTCAGTTGCAGACGGCTAAAGTTCCAGAAATGAGGGAGACAGTGAGTTCAAAGACCTGCTGTTTACAGGGGCCCAGAGCCTGGGAACCAAAGCTGAGGCTGAGGCACAGGCAAGCCAGGAGACAACGGCCGGAGTTGGAAAACTATACGGCCAGGCCTTCCCGCCAGAGCCGTCCACCCTCTCCTGTGCCCTGGACACTCAGTCCCTACTTATCTACAGAGCCCTGGAGGCAAATGTCAGGGCAAAGAGGTTATCTTGGGCTCTGAGTCCCCATTCTCTCCTCCTTCTGGTCACCCTTAGCTCGCACTGCTGCCGGGCCTCTCCTACACTGCCCTGCCCCCCCACCCTTTGCAAGCCCTCCTTCTGTCCAGCTCCAATGTCCCACCCTCTCCAACTTACCAGCTGATGGGGTCCAAAAGATACACCTCCTCCTGTAACCCCCAGGAACCCCTGTCCCTCAGTTCCTAGTCAAAAGCTTAATGAGTTCTGATTTCTATCATGAATCAACCCTCTCCTCTATCCTGAAGGGGAAATATCGCCACACTGCCCCATGTTGAGTCACTCAAGCCCTAACTCTGCCTGTGGGCAGCCCGTGCCCAAGAATATTCTAGAAGCAGCTCTCTGAGTAGCTCAATACCTCACCCTTAAGACTGAAAACAGAATATACCAAAGTTCAGTTGTTGAACGCCTTTGGGAGAGCTGTGGGTAGCAAGCTGTAGCACACAGGGCCTTGTACGCTATGCCACAGTGAGAATGTGCTCTGTCCTGGCAGCGGCCATGGCGATGTGTGCAGGAGGGGGTGGGGCAGTCGATGAGGACAGAGAGGCAGGGGGGCCCAGGAGGCTGTGGACAGCGCAGCTTAGATTTCATCAAAAGCAGATGGGAAGACACTGGGTGTCTGAGCAAGGAGAACCATGATGTCTTTGCTGTCTGTAGAGGGTGGTTCTGAGGCTCCTGTTGGGAGGCCAGACTTGGGGAAAGATGGCAGGGGTTCTGCAGTGGGGAGGGAGGATTCAGAGAGAAAGCATGTCTCTGTGAGGGGCTGTGGACGTGTGAGATGGTAGAGAGGAAGGCAGGAGGAGATCTCATTTTAACTTCAACGCTACAACAAACTGTGGCACCAATCCCAGAACCTGGCGTGGAACTAACTCTGTGTAGACCAGGCCGGTCCATCCTTTTGACATCCCAACAGAACTTGGTATCCATGCTTAAGAGCTGTGCAAATGTGATAAATCAATTCGCAAGAGTAAATTTTACATTTTAAATACATTTGTATTTTGTGTTGGGCCCCACGGTTTGAACATCACTAGTACAGAGTCAGGAAAGGGTGCTGATGTGAACAGGCGTGGCATGCTGGGGGAGACAGGGTTGGAAGCAAAGCACCTGGTGCTTACTATTCCAGAGTGCAGCTGATGAAACTCTTGTCTTCGTTTCCTCTGGACTAGCTACTACATCACAGACTGCTTTCTCGGACTTGAGAGGGCATCTCTGAGAGTCGGGTGGACAGTTGCACTCCTGACTCTGAGCTGCTTAGGAGGAAAGCCCCAGACCAGAGAAGACTCTTTCCTGCCCCCTCAGTGTTACACATGCTCCTCCAGGAGGGAAGGCACAGGGTCCTGAGAGTCAGGCCTGGGCAGTGTGGAATCAGGGCCTCTGTCTTCCATGGAACAGGAGGCCATGGGGTCAGAATGTCAGAACTGGCTTTGTAAAATCCCTCAGGCTACTGGGCAGAGAACATATGGCTCCTCTCAAGAAAGGGCCCAGGCTGGAGTGGAAAAAAAAAAAAAAACCTACACAAGAGTGGCAGCTGCATGACACTGAGAATTCATTAAAGACTGAGCTGTAGGCTTTAAAATGGAAGAATTTATATTATGTATATTTGACCATGATTGGGGGGGGGGGGGGCTTTAGAAAGATGACTCAGCAGTTAAGAGTGCTTGCTGCTCATCTACAAGACCTGAGTTCAGTTCCCAGCGCCCATATCAGACAGCTCACAACAACTGTGACTCCAGCACCAGGGAATCTGATGCCCTCTTCTGGCCTCGGTGGACACTGAGCTAACATACACACACATGCACATGCACTCACACATATACACATAATTTATAAAATCTTATTTTTTAAAAATTAAGGATTGTGGGAGACAATTTGGGGTCAGTGAGTCAGCACGGGGTGCTGGTGGCTTTTGTAGAAGCGTCGTGGCCGTCACCAGGTGAAGTGATGGCAGAAAAGGGCAGTCATCTGGGGTGTGTTCTAGGGGTTAAACAGGATTTAGATGAACTTGGGGTGCAGAGGGACTTCTGATGTTTGGCCTGAACAAGTGCATGGATGGTACTGTCGCTTGCAAAGCCAAGAGGGGGATGGCATGTGGCTGGCTGGGGACTGCAATGGCTGTGTGTAAAGACACTTGGCCCAAAACTTGACCACCTGAGTTCGATCCTGGAACACGCAGGGTAGGAGGAGAGAACTCACTCCTGAAAGTTGTCCCCTGATCTCCACACACGAGCCATGGAATGTTCACCCAGACACATATGCACAAAATAAAGAGATGTAGTTTCAATAAAGAGTACCTAAAAATGTCCTAGCAGTCAAAAATCACTCTGTTCCTGTCACTTGGGCACATTCCAGAGTAGAAGCCTTCAGAATTCCAGGGATGGAAAGCCTGATGTGTGTAAAATTGAGTCTCTCTGCTAAGGAGGGGGAAGTGATATGAAGTGACACCCAGGTGACTGACATACATTCAAACTGCTGTCAGCTCCTTCCATAGATCTCAGGCCAAGTCAACTCCGTAGAAATCTCCCCATGAGCCAGCCCAGCCCCCAACACCCACACAGTCCAGGCTCAGCTGGTACCCTTCATCAGGTTTAAAGTCCCCCGGTAGAGACTTGAGAATCTACTCACTTGGGGCTCAGCTGCCCGGGACACCAGAAATCCCATCTCCAGGGGCCACCCAACCACAAAATGGAAAGGACCAAACACCAAGAAGGGCAGAGAAAGAAATGCCACATGGCTGACACCCACCTCAGTGAAGAAGCCTGCCATCCCGGCCTGGCAGGAGCCATGTTCCTCCCCATACTTCTTCTTATACTCTGGAGGGAGGGGGAGAAAAGCAGACCACAGGCATGTCAGTGTGTGCCAGGCATGTGCGGATCTGACCACTTCCCCCGCACCTCTGTGGGCTGGGCCCAGGGATGCCGCCCAGGCTGAGGCACAGGACGAAAGTCTTGGGAATTCACCAGAGCAGGCTCTGAAGTCATCAGGTAGCCAGGCTGCCAAGTGCCTCAGAGGATTACCTCCATTCACGAGAGAAAAAGGAGTGACAGCCACTGTCATTAGCCAGGAGGCTGGTGACAATTACCCCATTGACTTCAGAGAGGACTGAGGTCCCGAGAGGGCCCGTGGAGCTAAAAACAGGATTCAGAAACGGAACACTGTAGACATTGCCATGGGGAGCCCCCTGGAAGGAGGTCAACCCTCCCAGAGAGCCCCTGGCAATCTGCCTTCTCCTGGGCAACCAGAAGCAAGCCATCCACCTGTGGGCTGAGGAAGAGAAAACCGGCCCCAGCATGTGGTCACACTCTTGAGGTATGTGTAGCTAGTGTGTGCAAACACCTCAGCTGCCTTGTGTGGAAGAAACAACCAGAGCTCCTGGGGCCAAAAGAAAACTGAGTCGGGGCTGAGGAGTTAGCTGAATTGATAAAAAAATGTTTGCGTGGGAGCATGAGGACCTATGCTCAGGCCCCAGAACCCATGTTCTCAAAAAAGTGGAGCATGTGCGTCCTCGTAATCCCAGTGCTGGGGAGGTGGACACGGGAGACTCTGGATGCCTGCTCGGTGAGACACAAGTCAGTGAAGGACACTGTCACAAAAAACAAAGAAGATGGCACATGAGGTCAACCTTTGCAGGAGTGCACAAATGTGCGTGCACTAAACACATAAACACAACTGAACATGCACCCACATGCACACCATGCACTACTCAGCCTAGGAGGACATTTTTGTCGCTGTTTTACTATTAAAGCATGCGGGAAGAGAGGGAGGCCACCTGAGGGCTGCTTAGCCGGCTCCAGGCTTTGCCTCTCTTCCTTCCCATCATCGCATCGATTCTCCTGAACTTAGAAACATAGCTCTCCATTCAGGAACAGGTCAGAAAACCAGTTCTCAGAGAGATGAAGTCAGTCACCAAGGGTCACACAGCTACTTCACACACAATGTTTTACCGCTGTGATACAAAGTGAGTGATTTTGCAAGATCAAGAGGTTGACTGACTTTGTGAAGTCATCTCAGGAACAAAGAGTAGGAGGTGGAGACGTGAGAGGGCCCTCGAGTGTCCCCAAGGATGTGGCAATAACACTGCCGGAGACGTTCAGGCTGGGGCTGACCAGTGTTCACCTAGTGACCCCACACTGTCCCCAAGGCTCTCAGTGATTCTCTAGCATCATTAAAGGCAATGGAAATATTTTGTGAAAGACTAAATAAATAACACAAAGGAACAATGAAGCTATGATTGCAACAGGACAGGCTTCCTAAAGCTCCAAGTGTGTGCTCCAGGCCGAGGGGAAAGGCCTTGGGGAAAAAAAGGGAGAAACTCAGTTTCCAACAACACACCGCAGAGCCTGTAACATTTTCCAGTAAGTGGCCATTAATCCAGGCTAAATTACAATGGAACATTAATTGAGTTACTTCTCTCCCCTGTGAGGCTAAAATCAGTTCCACCCGCCTTGTCCACTCACTATGAGGAAGACTTCCTGGCTGTCAAAAGCAGCCCAAAATCTCACAGTGGGGCCTGAGTGGAAGAGATGGGCAAAGAAACAAATCCTACATCAATTGTGGGGTACAGAAATGATGCAAAGCGAAATTGCCTCAAACAGCGCAATGTGGGACTAGAGAGAGGCTTAGCAGTTAAGAACACTTGCTGCTCTTCCAGAAGATCGGTGTTCAATTCCCAGGACCCATGTCGGGCAGCTCACAACTGCCTGTAACTATAGCTCACACACACACACACTAAATCTTTTTTTAAAAATTAGCACAGCAACAAAATGTCCAACTTAAGCAGCGACAAATAAAACCTAGAATGTCTGATAAATGGTTTTCACCTACAGACGCTAAAGCTAAATAAGCCACTGTAATTTCTACATGTGTGCATGTGAGTGCCTGTGTGGGTTTACACACAGGTGTGCAGGTAAGAATGTGGAGGCCAGAGGACAACCCCCAACACTACTCTTCAAAGGCCATCCACCTTTGTCTTTTGAGTCATGACCCCTCACTGAGCCTCAGGATCACCAGTTAGGCTAGAAGAAGCAGAGACTCGGAGTCTCCACTTCCCCAGGGCCGAGATGACAAACTCGAACTAGCACGTCCTGCATTTCATGGGCGAGCTTGCAGGCCAGGCACACTACCCGCTAAGCATCTCCCTGCAACTGTAACTCTAAAACATGAAACAATCAAGGAATCTCGGACTTCAGGAGTACACAGAGACCATCTTGCCTAACACAGCTCAGTCTTATAAATCTGACATGATAGCAATTATGTGCAAATGTTACACCTTTTAAAGCACCCCAAGTCGTTTTATGGCTTGGACTCTAAAGACAGTTCTCAGAGAAACATCACCATGCCTCCCTCAACCTCAAATCTCGAGGGTGTTCCCTACGCTGGGAGCTGAGGTTTCTGAGGTGGCCCCATCCTGGCCTAGGCTAATGTCCTACGGGGCGAGTTGTTGCTGGTACTCCAGCCTCAGCGAGCAGGAGGTGCTGCATGGAGGACAGCCGCCACTTCTCCAAGCTGGCACTGCCCTATTCCAGGGCTGAGGGCCTGGGACACACCAGCAATGGCTTAGACATTTCTAAGGTTACCAGGTCTGGGCCTGCCCTCTTGGAAGGCTCCAGAGCAAGGATGAATGTGGAGGCCTTGCCTGGACCCCACTACTCAGAAATCCCTGCTAGAGGACAGCCCACATCCCAGCCTCCCAGAAACCTCTGTGATGCAGCCATGAACTCTCCTGCACCACCCTTCCCATACACACCCAGGGGCAATGGTAGCCTAGTTACTCTATTCTTGGAGGCCTCAGTTTTCTAAATGTCATAGGAATCTACAGCCTTCCAGACACCCCCTCAGCTTCTCTGCTCAGGTGACCTTGCAGGTAAACATAAATTATACACTTCCCATCATGAAGATGGCAAGCTTATTTGCCTAAGTGTCCTCAGCACTAGACTGCATTTGCCTGACTACATTTCACTGAGACCCATGAAGAAATAAATGCACAAGGGCCAGGCATGGATGGTTCTCCTGCTGACTAAGTCCTGAACTTTGAAATCTCTCTGCAGCCCCTGGCCTTCTCACCTACCCTTCCCACCTCCAACCAGTTAGGCTCCCAGAATGCCATTCAGCACTACTTGAAAAGGCTTTGTGCTCCGTGTACTAGGAATCACAAATTCTACAGCCAATTCCACCACTAACCCAGAGACCTAAGGCCATAAAAAGTCATTCTAGGAAGGGAAAGATCTGCTGGATGGTAGTGGCTCACACCTTTAATCCCAGAACCTGAAGACAGGAGGCAAGGGAATCTCTGTGAGTTCAAGGCCAGTTTGGTCTACAGAGCGAGTTCCAGGATAGCCAGGGCTACACAGAGAAACCCTGTCTTGAAAAACAAAATAAAATAGAAAGAAAAAGAAGGGAAAGACCCACAGCAGAGATTTTTCTGGGTTTTCCACACTGGCTCTACCTTGGGTAGGTCTGTGTTCTTTATAGGACTCAGGAGAAGCAGGACAAAGCATCCATCTTTTCAATCCATGTCCACCCTTGTGACCTTCACTGACTATCTCTGAAGACCTGGGAGCAGTCACACAGCCACAGATGGGACAACCCACTCCCCAAAGCTACAGTAATGGGAAGTCCTCATGCCTGTGCTCATGGCCTCTGGGCGAAGCCAAGCCCTCTGAAGCAGAGTGAGCAGAGCACCCACCTGTCTTGGGGCTCTGCGGCATCAGGCCATGGGGGCCTGAACTCCCACTGCCACGACCAGACACCCCACTCCTTTCCAGGAAAACAAAACAAGACACAACATCATGGTGACTAGGGATGTAGTTCAGCTGGTAGAGTGAGTGTGTGCATACTAAACCCTGGGTTCCATCATGAGCTGGGCATGGTAGTACATGCTTATAATCTTAGCACTCAAGTGGTAGAGGCAGTAGGATCAGAAGTTCAAGGTCATTCTGGATAACATGAGACTCCATGTCTATACTAAACAAATTCAGAACCAATATCTTACAGACACTAAGGGTCTAGTATATAGAGGGCTATGCTAATATATTCAAATAAAAACCTAAACACTTGATTTTGCTTTCCTGGTCTTGAGTAGGAGGAATGTCCTCTGCACAAAGCTATGGAAGTGGGCTGGGTAGAGCCAAGGACACGGGGCTGGCCCAAGAAGAGCAAACCCAAGAAACGTGAGTCACCCCTGTCTCCATTGAGCAGTCCAGGAAGCACACAGCAGAGGGATCCAGGAGGAGTTGGGATGACCTCCAGCCTCCTGTGTTCCCAGGAAGACCCTTTTGTACACAATCACAACGGCAGTTGGCCCCAGTGTCTGGGTGCTCCTGGCCTTGCCCACTTAGTCTCCAGCAGTCCCCACAGTCATGGCCACACAGAGAGGACTCTAAGAGGCAGAGCTGTCTCAGTTACAGAACAAAACATTTATCCACCTCACAGACACAGGAGAGAAGCAAGCTCCGTCACAGTAGCCTGCCTTTTTTGTAACGTGCCCAGCTATCTGACCCAGGGAAAATGAAGCCGCTAAGCAAATATGGCCAGGCCGAGGAAGAGGACCTGGAAGGGGGAGAAGACCTCTCTGCTGCAGGCAGGTCTGATATGCTTGGCTAGCACCACACACTTTAATTCAAGTCCTGGGCTCCTCCCTCCAAAGCAGCTGGTTTCACAAACCCTGCCTAAACAGAGGCCATTCCAAGAGGAGGAGAAACACCAGCTTCAATACCTGCAGCCTACCCTGAAGCTATGAATTGTGATCGACATTACAAACCCACAGAACTGCATGCTAGGGTAAGCCTTAGACCGACACAGAACAACATGTGCA